TATAATAATTATTATATATATATATATATATATATATATATAGTGAAATCTAAACTCTGATCTCTCGTGATTTTCATAACTATCTGCACAACTATAAATGTGGATGTTTTTCTTATATATCCCATGATTTTCATCGAGCAAATTTATGTGTACTAAAATCAAGTTATGAAATAATTTAAGGAACAAAAGTGTTTTAATAATGGTGTTATATATCAACTCGTATTTACTTCGACTTTTCAGGGTTTTAATTACTTTCTCTGTCCCAATTTATATGACATTTTTTATGTTTTGAGAGTCAAACAACATTTGAGCATGGAATCTTCAATTTTTTTGGAATGAAATTTATATATTTGTAAATTACGTAAAAAGTACTATGAGTCACAATAATTGATAATTCAAAATGTTTAAGGTCAAAAAATAGACTTGTTTTACTCTTGAAATCCGAAATATGACATAGAAAATGAGACGGAGGTAGTAACATATATGGTTAAATTTAAACTCTACTCTTCTTTCCATTATATTTTCCTATATACTTCATTAGCTAATAAAAAACTATATCAGTAAACTTAATTAACCGCTAGACCACACCTCTGGTGCTGTCAGGTAGAAAGATATACGAATCCATGAAAGGCGATATAGGAAATGAGGGTTCACTCATCACTAATCAATATGGTCCACAATGGCGTATGTTAAGACGATTATGCACCACAGAGTTCTTCATTACAAGTCGTCTTGATGCCATGAGAGGTGTACGTACAAAATGCATAGATCAAATGCTTGAATTCATGGAAGACGCGGCTAATTCAAGCACAACTTCCATTGATGTTGGAAGGTTTTTCTTCTTAATGTCATTTAACCTAATTGGAAACCTTATGATTTCAAAAGACCTAGTTGATCCAACATCAGATCGAGGTGCAAAGTTCTTCTACCATGCAGGAAAAGTTATGGAGTATGCAGGAAAACCTAATATCGCGGACTACTTTACTATTTTGAGATGTCTGGATCCACAAGGTATAAGGAGGAAGACGCAATTTCATGTTAGAAGGGCATTTGCCATCGCGGGTGAATACCTTAGAGAAAGAATGGAAGATATCGAAAATAGTGATGAGAGAAAAAAGGATTATTTAGATGTACTTCTTCGATATCGTGGTGATGGTGTTGAGGGGCCTTCTAGGTTTTCATCTCAAACGATTAATACCATACTTTTTGTAAGTAATACTCTATATTATGCTCGTATATTTTAAAATTTAACTTATATATACCGTACTATAACATGTTCTATTATCAAGTTACTAACATCATTTGTTGGTAGTTAAATGAGTCCAATAATAATGATTATTTATTATTACCTAATGATTTCAAAATTTAAATTATCTTGTTGGATATGATTTTGGTGTTCAATAACCACCAAATAATAAAGCAAATTAACAATATTATTTTGTTGGGGTACACTTTGTGTGATGGTCCTATTTATTTGGGTTGGGGAAAAAGAATATATCAAACTCAGCCCAACTATTTGGCAATAAGTTTGTATTTAAACATGATATACACTAAGTAATGAAAAAAACTCTCCAAATGGATATCAAAAGTGCTTATTTTAAACAAAAATTTACCATCAATACATTTAGGGGATTTATACTTTGAAGTTTCATTAAGAGGTTTTAAGTTTCTCTTAATTAGTGGTATACGTTTTGTTTTTAAAAACGCGATTTTGGTTGAAGATATAATTAAATAAATAAAAGCATACTATAGCCTATATATATATATATATCACAAGATTAAAGTGTTTGATTTTGTCTTTTTTTATTAGGAGATGTTCACAGCAGGGACAGATACAACTACAAGTACATTAGAATGGGCAATGGCTGAGCTACTCCACAACCCTACTACTCTCCAAAAAGTTCAAGATGAGTTAAGAAGAGTCATCAACCCCTCGAAAAAGCTAGAAGAAGAAGACTTGGACAAACTTTCTTACTTAAACGCGGTGATCAAAGAAACCCTAAGGTTACACCCTCCACTTCCATTCTTAGTCCCACACATGGCCATGGACTCTTGTAACATGTTAGGTTATCACATCCCAAAAGAAACACAAATTCTTGTTAACGTTTGGGCGATTGGTAGGGATCCAAAGACGTGGAAAGATCCTTTGAAATTCAAGCCAGAGAGATTCTTGGAACCTAACATGGTAGATTATAAAGGTCATCATTTTGAGTTCATACCATTTGGTTCTGGTCGAAGAATGTGCCCTGCCGTTCCCCTTGCTTCTCGTATGTTACCACTTACTTTAGGGTCAATTCTACACAAGTTTGATTGGGTCTTAGCTAATGGAGTGAAACCACAAGATTTGGACATGAATGAAAGAATGGGGATGACTTTGAAGAAAGCAATTCCATTAAAGGCTATACCATGTTTGTACATAAAAAATATCCCCCAAAGGACAAAAAAATAAGAATAAGTAGAAGTTATAGCTCAAATTGTAAGGGAGAAGACTCAAGTACCCCTTAGATTATGATCGAATTAACTAAATTAAGGTTCTATTATTCCCCTGAATTTATTTTTTTAGTACTTTTGTACACCTTTTAGCTTATGTGGCACACCCCGTGACTCCAAGCAGTTGAGGCGCGTGGGATATATTTAGATATCATATAAGCCAAAAAGGTGTACAAAATTTTCAAAAAAAAATGAATTCAGAGGGCTAATAGGATCTTGATTTAGTCAAGATGTGTTTCTATAGAGATTTTGGTCATAGTTTAGGCAGATACTTCTACCTTTTCCCCCAAATTGTAATTGTACACCTTTGAGCATGATTCAATGTATGTGGTGTTTTTTATTTTATTTTGAGATGTCATTATACAATTATTATATACATACTAGAGACATATGAGTTCATACAAGAAGTTTTATGAAGATATTTCAAATATTTGAGAAACATTACCCCATTAGAAATATTTGAGAACTTTTATTTAAGTAAAAATGAAATATTTCAGTCACAATATGAGAAATAGCTATGGTATTGGATTATTTGCACAAGATAGCCTCTCTTTTTTTGGCAACTATTTAAATTTTGTCCCTAAATATAAGTTATATAAATGTAATTTTCATAGTAATGTGTTCGAAAATTATTTTCCTTCCACATGTAGGACTTCATCAAACATAGATGTAGGCGTACGTATCGTAATGTTTATCTGAATTTAATAACTTTAACTCAAAATATTTACAAAACAAATACAAATAGGCGTACGTATCGTAATGTTCTATGTTGTATTATTCACATTTGGTGTTTATATCAAGTCAATAAATTCATAAGACGTGTTTTTACATAGACTTTTAACACTTAATCATATGATTGATTAACATATGTTCTCACCTCATTAAATCATTCAACCTATAATAAATTTACACAAGACTTTCAACCAAACCAATACTAATTCATGAGAAAAATTATAAATACACAACTAACATCAAACTCTTTTAGGTATCACTTTCAAAGGTTGTTTTTTCCTTGCTGTAATTCCCATACTTTCCTCCATGTTAATGGACTTAGGAGAAACATTATTAGGAAGCTCCCAATCGAATTCATGAAGCAACGATCCAAACGCGAAATGCATCATACGATGACCTAGAGGAAGGCCAGCACACATCCTTCTCCCAGCACCAAATGGAATCAACTCGTGATTTTGCCCCTTAACATCTACTTTTGATTCAAGAAACCTCTCGGGCTTGAACTCGAAAGGGTCGTTCCAACATTCAGGATCTCTTCCAATTGCCCAGACGTTCACAAGCACTTGAGTCCCTTTTGGTACATCATGGCCCATGAACTTTGTGTCTTGAATTGCTTTTCTTGGAATTAAGAAAGGGAGTGGAGGATGTAAACATAACGATTCCTTGAGAATCGCTTGCATATATGGTAGACTGTCTATGTGACGCTCTTTGAACTTTTTATTAGGACCAATTACTTGTGAAATTTCTAATTTCACTTTGGTCATAGCTCGTGGATGGCGCAATAACTCAGTCAATGCCCACTCCACACTGCTACTAGTTGTTTCTGTTCCAGCTAGAAACATTTCCTACGAAATTTTCGAAGACGAGTTTAACTTATATACATCGTCTCTCTAAAGAATTTTCATACTATTATATCACAACTTTCTCTATAAGAAAAAAGAGATTTGTAATATTAAAAATCAGGTAAGTTACATGTTACAACAGATAAAAGAAAATCTTTAGACTCGCATACATGTAAGTCAAATTCTTTCGAGATAAAGTACTACACCTTTTGTTTCATATTACGTGACACTTATTATTTAGAGAAATAAAAAAAAATTTAACCATGTATATTTTTTTACTATCTTTAAATATTTTGAATTATTCATTACTCTCTCTGTGCCAATTTATATGATACCTTTTATGTTTTGAGTCAAACAGTTTAAGTTTGATCAGATATTTGTACATGGAATCTTCAATTTTTTTGAAATGAAAGTTATATATATGTAAACTACGTAAAAAGTACTATAAGTCACAGTAATTGATAATTCAACATGTTTAAAAGATCTATGAAAACTTTACGGTCAAAGATAGACTTGTTTGACTCTTGAAATTCGAAAGGTGACATATAAAATGGAACAGAGGTAATACTATACTATAAAGTACTTAATTTTTATATGTATATTTTTTTAAAAAAAAATAAAAATTGTACGTTTAAGTTTTACACTAAAAATTAGTCAATATCTCACCTTTGCACGCCAAATCATATCACATAAAATAGAACAAAGAGAATAAAATTTAGAACCTAGACAAAATCTCGAAATTAACTATACATCCCATCATAAAACAATTGAAAGGGTAAAACGGTTTCTCTCTAAGAAAAAACAATTTGAAATCACAATAGATAATTTGAGACGAGAAGAGTACAAAAAACTTACCAATATAATAATTGTGATTTCATGTTCTGATAATTTAGCTGGTTCACCTTTTCCACTTCCTTCAAAATCAAGCAAAACATCCAATAAATCTTTAATTGATTTATTTTCTTCACCTTTTTTTCTTTCTTCTATACGTTCTTCAATAAAATTCTTAATAATTTCTATAGCTTTTCCCATATCACGTTTCATTTTTTTCCTTAAACCTTGTAGATCAAACATTTTTAGACATGGAAAAATATCCGAAATATTCGGAACGCCGGACCATTCCATGATCCCCATCATCGCGTTAAAAAACATTGACCCTTTTTCAGATTCTGGATCCGTCACTAAGTCTTTAGACAAAATCATGTTACCTAGCATATTAAACGATGCTAGGAACACATAACGTGTCACTTCAATCCCCTCGATTACCCCTCCTCCTGAGCTCGCTTTTTTCTCTATCCATCCAAGCATTCTATTCATCGATTTTTGCCTAATGAGTGTTGTCTCGTTTATCCTTTTGTGTACAAACATTTCCACAGTACAAATTCGTCTCGAAAATCGCCAATAATTACCATAGGGAGCTAAAGCCATTGACCCTTTATAGAAATTATGTGCTAAATTAACATCAACTATGTTCCTATCTGAAAATGTAACATCATGATACTTGAATAATTCACTTGATGAATATGATGTTTGAATTACCATTATGTTCATTGAGGGACCAATTTTTAGCCATAAAATAGGGCCATATTTGTCTTTTAAACTTGCAATTTTTTTGTATGGTTCTGATCCAGCAAGATCAAATAGTTACCAAAAATTGGTAATCCATTTGGTCCTGGAGGTAAATTATACTTGGAAAAAGATGAATTTTTTTGGTAAATCAAGAAGATAAAAGCTAATAAAAAGATTATAGTAGAACAAAGTATGTAAAAATTAAATTCCCAATCCATTTTTTCTCTCAAGAATTTGAGGAAGAAGATTGATTGATTTTTGTATTTAACAATGGTAGTGTGGTACCTTAAATAAGCATATGAAAACATGCTAGTTATTATATTGTATTTATAAAAATATTGAATTTGAGTTATATGCGTTGACGGCAAAGTTAGTGTTACGTGTATGTGTATGTAATATAGTAAATGTTGAATTTAGTGAATTTTTTTTATGTGTTTATTTTTTTTTATTTTAAATTTTATTAGTGAAATTTTAGCTTCACGACTTTTTGCGAAAAAAAAACATCAAACACAATGAAAGTCATGTAATTTGTAATTAAATGTAAATTGCAAGTTCTTTTTTTTAAAGAAATCATATGGTCAGTGTAATTTACATTATCTTTAATTATTTGAATTACTATTATAATCTTATAAGATCCACGTTAACTTTTTTTTAATTAAAGTAAAAAGTTAAATACAATCTTATTCTTCCACATGGTTAATAATTTATATTTTGCAATTAAAAAAACACAAACTATAGTCCTATGAGATATTTCCAAAGTTGAAAGAATACATAATTAATTGGTATATATTTGATTATTACAATACATGTCAATTTAGAAAAATGAACATTTTTATTTTTTTTTATTTTTAGTTTGTCAACTTATGAATAAAAAATCAAATAATTTGGCCATGACTAGGTAACAAAAACAAAAACAGTAATATTACATCACTAAAATATACATCACCCACCGTCCATTTAATATTTTATGTTTCTTTATTTCTTATCTTATTACTAACTGTATTATAAAAAGTTATCAATTAAGCAATAGATTGAAAATTTTATTATTAAATTAATTCATTTGAAATGATATAAAACAACTACAGAAAATAAATATATGTTTACCCATATTTGTATCAAATTAAGTAATTTAATCTCAAGATTTAAAATTTTAATTAACGATACAGATATATATAGAATTAGTCCGTGAAAATAATAACTTCGTGATAATCATATTCATATTTTAGTTGGAAAATAATCTTATTTTTCTTATTATTATAATTATGAAAAAATTGAGGGAAGGCAAAGGTCTCTAGAAAAATAAATATGTATCTTTGATATCTTTTTCGTTAAAAAATTATATTATATATGTAAGTAATTTTTATTTTTTTTATATTTTAAATTTTTTAAAGAAAATCTCACTTTAAAATTCAAATTAACTATTAATATTAGATGATTGATAACGACGTATTTGAGAGGGAGGCTACCATAATAAAAAGGTGATCAAGTGAACAATCTTATCGATAATTCGATTGGGTAGCAAATTAGGATAATATATTTAATAATATTGCTTTATTTATAGAATAATAATGAGTTGGCACCTTTTTTAAATTTTTTTTTTCGCCAAAATTCAAAATTCTTTTGGATATTCCTTTCTATAGACGTCATTTAGATTTTCTCATCTATTAATGATTTTGTGCCAATTGATATTTATGTATAATTTTTAATTTTGAATGTTAAATTCATACAAATTGAATAAATAAATATATTTGACTTATGTATAAATATCAATTGTGTGTTCTATATATATATATTATATCACGTAAGATACATGTATTTACTTGTTCAATTTTATATAACAACATTATAAATGAGTTAAAATTAAAGAATAGATTTAACTACGGGTTAGTTTTATAGGACGCACACAAGCAAATGAACATGTATTGACCTTTCTTAATTATAAATGCTCGTTACGAATAAATATTTATCCATCTATAAAAATTTTACGACTCAACACATAACATATGAGTTAAAGCTTAATAAAATAATCATTTGAAAATACGAAGTGTCATGCTAATTAGTAGAGAAAATCTTAAAATTAACTTATAATAAACTTTGTAATGTGAGCCAATCTCAGCTAACATGGGCATATAATAATATTATACGCTTTTGTTTTTTTTTTAATAATGAAAATCCTATATCGAATATCTCGAAGTGGGCAAATGGCAGCACGTTCAGTACATTCTACGTTTTCTATTTTAATTTATATTTACTTAAGGTATTTTGATTTAATACAAAATTTTAAAAAATTTAAAAAAAAATTAAAACTTATCATCTTAAATATGTTATATTGTTCGAAGTAACTAATATTTATATCACAGTCTAAACCTTAATGACGCGGTAAAAAGCGAGAGTGAAACGAGAGATTTTTACGTCATATATCTTATTTATATATTATAGTTTTACTTATATAGGAAATATTAATGTCATTCGTAATTAATTTTGCTCAAACTCTTCAAATATGTCGACATATACATATCTAATCCTTCAAAAATAGCATATTTTTTTATACAATCCAACGCAAATACGATCATATTTTTGAACAATCCAAACAACATGGACTCGTATTGTAGTGATATTAATTCTTTGATATATCCTAATCATACATTTGTAGTTTTTATACTTATATATGGGAAATTAGTCTCACAGGTTATCTATATTGCTCAGACTCTTCATATATGCTAACAGATACTCGAAAAGTAATACATCTTTACAAGATCTGACACGAGGGCACCAACATTTTGCGATAATCCAAGCAACATAGAGGGTATAGTTACTATAAATAAATGGCATCTTGAAGCAACAACATCAAAAAAACACTTCAAAATTTTGAGGAAAAAAAAATGGATTGGGATTGGAACTATGTTGTTTGGTCTATAATCATCATAGTATCAACAACTCTAATCATAGTATTTTCCAAAAGAAATTCTTCTTGTTACAAGTTACCACCAGGACCACCTGGAATCCCAATTTTTGGCAACATGTTTGATCTAGGAGCATTACCATATCAAACAATAGCACAGTATAAACAAAAATATGGACCTATTGTATGGTTCAAAATTGGCTCTGTCAAAACCATGTCAATTTTATCAGCCAAAACAGCTACTGAGTTTTTCAAGAACCACGATTTTGTCTTCGCGGAGCGTAAAATCATGGACACCATGTTGGTTCATGACTACAACCTAGGGTCATTAGCTATAGCCCGGTATGGGACGTATTGGCGCGTGCTAAGAAGGATATGCACCGTTGAAATGTTCGTGCACAAAAGGATCAATGAAACAATGGATATAAGGAGGAAATGTGTTGATGATATGATTCATTGGATTGAGAATGAAGTGAGTTCAAAGGAAGTCAAGGGAAGTGGGATTGAGGTAACGCGATTTGTGTTCCTCTCAACGTTTAATATGCTAGGGAACTTGATGTTTTCGCGTGATTTAGTCCATCCAGGATCAAAGAAAGCTTCCGAGTTCTTCAATGCTATGATGAGGATCATGGTTTTGTCAAGCATTCCGAATATCTCAGACATTTTTCCATGTCTTAGGAGGTTTGATTTACAAGGCTTGAAGAAGAAGATGCATCGCGAAATAGGAATAGCTCTTGGCATTGCCTCTACGTTTGTTAAGGAACGAATGAAGGAGCGCGAACATGGTGAAGTGAAAAAGAAAGATTTTTTAGATGTGTTGCTTGAATTTGAGGGTAGTGGAAAAGATGAACCAAGTAAGCTATCAGAACATCAGATCACTATATTCATATTGGTAAGTCTTACAATGCACATTCCGTCTCTTTCAATTTGCTTGTCTGGTTTTTGACTTGTCATGTGAAAAGAAAGATTCTTTTTTCAAACAGACTAAAAAGGAAATTAAAACAGACAAATTGAAACTATTGTTGATATGGAAAATCAAGAATGCTAATGTACATAGTTTGCTTGCGATTAGTCTTGATTAGATATAAAATGCAGGAGATGTTTTTAGCGGGGTCAGAGACGACTAGCAGCAGTGTAGAATGGACGTTGACAGAGCTCCTACGCCATCCTGAAGCAATGGGAAGAGTAAAAGCAGAGATATCTCGAATTGTAGTTCAAAAGAAGAAGTTTGAAGAAAGTGAGATTGACAATCTGCCCTATATGCAAGCTGTGGTTAAAGAAGTGTTAAGATTACATCCTCCTCTTCCATTCTTAGTGCCAAGAAGAGCGATGCACGATACTAACTTCATGGGGTATGACATACCAGAAGACACTCAAGTGTTTGTGAACGTATGGGCAATTGGAAGAGATCCTGAATACTGGGACGACCCTTTGGATTTCAAGCCTGAGAGGTTCCTTAACTCGAAGACTGACTTCAAAGGACAGTGTTACGAGTTCTTACCATTTGGTGCTGGTAGAAGGATGTGTGTAGGCCTTCCTTTAGGTAATCGAATGTTACACTTTGTTTTAGGCTCGTTGCTTCATGAATTCGATTGGGAGCTTCCTAGTAATGTCACTCCTGTATCAATGGACATGAAGGAGAGGATGGGAATGACAGTGAGGAAATTCAATCCTTTGACAGCAGTACCAACAAAAACATCTGGTTAAGTAAAAATCGCCATATTACTTCTGTTTTTTTATCTCTGTATGTAATGACCAAATTTAGTACACTTAGGCGGCCTAGTAGACTTCACGGATTTGCCTTTTGAGCTATGCTAAAATCGAATTCAAATAATGGTGTAACATTGAACTTATGTTATGCTTTATAAAGTTCTTCACTTTCTTCTCATGTTTCAATGTAGGATTCTCAAAAGTTTGTCAGATTAGAAGCCTATCGACTCATGATTGACCCGCCCTCATCATTATTTTACGATATCATATTCTATATGATTTGGCATACACGTGCATCGAGAAACTATCTCTGGTTAACCTCAGAGTTTAGACAGATGCACTAGGATCCTTCACCATTTCCAACATTAGCACAACTTCAAAGAAAAATTAAAATACTTCAAATTATTTCATTAGTTAAGGTTATACATTTTCAATTCTAAATCACATGGAGCTCTGCAGAAACAATATTAAATATAGCTGAGTTAAATGGAGCTGACACTTCCATGAACTTTGTATCAATCTCTAGGCAATGAAACCAAACTGATCATAAAAGCAGAAAAAAATTGTCCGTAACAATCATCGTCTATAACAACATTTCACAATAACGGCCAAGTTTTCTTTGGACCGGCTTTCATATTAAGCTATATAACATGTTCTCTCAGCATCCAAAATATATCCAGACGAACGTGGTGTTATAGAGGGGTTCGACTGTATTTAGCTAAGGATATATCCATACAACAAAGTTTAGGTCAAGAATCATGATAAAACACAAGACAGCAATGCTAAACATGATCTAGACTTGGCCATCAATGCTAAAACCTCTATCTGCAGCATAATCAAGAAAACTGTAAAGTGGCATGACTTTATCGCCGTATTTCTCGAGACCATCTAACTCTCTCTTAGCCTGCGCTCTTAGATCCTCAGCAACTTTCACAGCCTTCTCAATGCCATAAACGCTGACATAGCTTTTGCCTTTCTTTTTCTTCCCCTCAGTTTTGTTCTCCGTCTTCTTTGCTTCCAATATATCGTCAACAACACGATATAAGACACCAACAGCTCGACCGTATTTTCTCATGTGTTGGATCTCCTCATCTGAAGCACCAGCCAAGAGAGCTCCACAAACGGCAGAGCACTCACCCATTTCACCATATTTCTTTTCTTGAACAAAATCAACAGCATTTGGTCCACCCTCAAGGTCAAGGAACTGACCAGCAGCCATGCCAGTGGACCCCACAGCTCGAGCAATCTCTGTAATAACCCGGAGGACTCGATCCTCGGGAACGAGATCACTTGGAGTGTGGGACACAATATGCTGGAAACCAAGAGGGAACAAGGCATCCCCGGCTAAAATTGCCATATCTACACCAAAAACTGTGTGATTTGCAGGTAGACCTCGTCGAGTTGTGTCATCATCCATGCAGGGCAAATCATCATGAATCAATGAAGCAGCATGAACCTAATATAAATTGATCCAGGTCAAATATGGAATTAAGATTTTGTGTCTAATGTAAACATCAATACAATAGCACATCTCAAGCTCAATTAGAGGATCAACCTACAAAGATATTGAGTTAGAAATTGCCATATCATATAGAATTAAACTTCATTCTGTGACCATATTACACAACTAAGCACTTAAAGTTGAAAAATGTGATGTATTAAGTAGCTGAACCTACGTGTTGTTGCATGTTTAGCTGCCTCGAGAATTTGGTCATATTTTATCATGAATAGCACAAAAATAAGCAGAATTTTTTTCCTTTGTTAAGTTAAAACAGACCTCATTGAACCTGAGTACAGAAAGATGTGCAGAAATGACAGTTGCAAAAAATGTTGGCTCCTTCTAATCCACAAGGCAGATGAAGTTCACTTTACTATTTTACATCGCTGGTGTTGCTCATTTTGCACCCAAAAGACATACATCTGAACTTAATCTAATAATGGTTCAAATTCTAAGAAAATGGCCAAGCAGTCAAAAACATGAAATATCCTTGGAGACCAAGGTATGAATCCCAACAGAGGCGTCACTAGGTGAATTCTTTCCACATGTATAAGCTTTAGTGGCTGAGCTTCCTAATAGTTGTTCTTGTAGAATCTATCAGGTAAACAACGGATCAGTTCAGGTGCGTACAAACTGATCTAGATACCACCTTTATCAAAAAACAAAAAGTCAAAATGTTCATATTTCTGCTTTTCAAAACTCTTTTTTCCTTAAACTGGATAAGCATGGCTAATGTAAAGATAAAATGATTAGGGTGGTAAAGCTCAAGCATTATCTTAGAAGCTTGATTTAAAAAGATTTGGTATATACATCATGACTACTGCAGTTCAAAGGCCATAAGACATAGTATCAAAGCAGTTCATTTACCAGAACCACAAACCCCACATCAGCCAAATTTAATTTTGTATCGATTCAAGGATCTGTTTGTAGAGACAATCAATAGAAGATGCTCAAGTTACGCGGTGCAGTTGTGGAGGATATGAGAATCCTTAATAACAAAAACTAAAGGCTAATCCTACAACATGGATGCTTTAGTTTATTATCTAACAAAAGATCCTCAATCAACTTGAGTAATGTTTGCACCGTTCCACCAAGGCTACAGGAGTGGAACAAGCAGAGCAAAGTCCTAAGAAACATATACATAGTTTCTCAGTAGTTCAATTTGACAATATTCTTTGTGAACACCCCAACAACATCAATTTTAACTCATCTTTTTGTGGGGTTAACCAAGGTAGAGGGGGAGGGGTCCTCCTGCAAAGCAAATAAAGATGAAAGAAAATGAAGAACTAACCATCTCTAAGGCACAGGCAGTGGGAAAGGCAGCAAGGCGATTTCCTCCGAAAAGCTCACAAGCTGCGACACACATGATGGGTGGGGACCTTTTGGCACCCTTGGCCAGGACAGAGTAGCGCATGGCCTCATAAATCTGATTTGGGTACTTGACTGGAACTGCCTCATCAAGTTTCTGGTTGATATCACTAATTAGAGTTGTCCAATAAGTCTTAAGATCAAACTTGACGGACTCAGATGCTGTCGAAACAGAAGAAGAGCATTGGATTGCTTTCTGCATAACCATGCGGCTCCTTGGAAGACATAAACTAGGTGAAAAGCTCATCACCATGGAGAAAACCATAATTGATCTCCGTTCCTCTCTTTCCTTAATAGATTCCTGCTAATATTCACAATCATCTGAGATAATTTGCAGTTAAATTATGCATATTATATAACCCAATTATCTTTCTCCCCACAATCATAAACATTTGAGTGCAACATTAAAGTAAATACATCCAACATGCGAATTAGCATCGGCTTAAATTACACTTTTTTTAGTTTAGTGACATCTTCTCACAAGGGCCACCGTCAACTCCAATTAGGTTTCTCATAGCTAAGATAATAAACATCAATCAAACGGGAAAAACAGATTACGGAAGTTTGAAAAATAAGCAAAAATTATCAAGAGTGATACTTAAGAAAATCATGTTATACACAAGCTGGAATTACAAAATTACTGCCAATTCTACCATCATTTCACCACATCACACTATCAACTCTTCAGCCCAAAAGAACACAGCAAAACAGCATATAGTAATTAATTATTAGCAGAAAATGAAATATCTATCATCTTGCAGACAAACTTACACGGGCCACATGGAAGAATGAACATTACCCAATTCACTAAACGTGTCACCCTGAGTCCAATTAATGGCCTAAACAATTAATCACATTTTCCTTCTTGCTCACCATTTCAAGTCTAAGGTGGCTAATATTCCTCAACAAATCACTTACCCCTCAACCCAAAATTAGCTTAGGTAAGCTAAATCAACCATTTTATCCATTCCGCTCTATGTATTCAAAGAACTCATCATGGTTAGACTATCATTAAACTTAGAGGTTGTTAGTTATGGTTTCATCTGAACCCATGAAACCCAATAGCTTTGGCTCAATCTCTATATATGTGTTAAAAACTTCATTACATAAGTACAAATCATTGATTCCCAACCCAATTTCCTGAACTCGGACCCATAAAATTCAAACCCTGAATCCACCTCCATGTAGACTGGCTCGAACACTTCATTATCATCCCCATTTCCATTCTGCTCTGTGTTTTCAAAGAATTCATCATAGTTAGACTATTATTAGACTATGGATTTGTAACTTACATGTTCATCCTAAACCTATGAACGTGAACCCAATAACTTTTGCTCATACACTATATATGTGTTCAAAAAATTCACTAAACAAGCACAAACAATTACAATTCCCAATCCATTTAGAATCCTCATATCGAACCAATAAAACTCAAATCCTGAATACACCTCTAGTTAAACTACTCATCAACCTACCTCAACCTTTCTACTTTACACCAATACAACATCGCCGAGTTCTAAGGAGCTAATTAGAAACAAAGGAATTAAACTTGCTGAAAATTTAACAAGGAGTAAACAAATTGAAAAAAAAATAAGTTTTTTTGAGAGATTCAAGAGTTGTACCTTTAACAGCAACGGGGAACTTGATTCGCCGGTGAATCTGCTCTCCGGCGCCGGCGAAATCGGCTTATCTACTCTCAGTTCTCAGTAATTTCTATCTATTTAGTTCGGATCTCAGATTCGGTACGTTAACGGATTTTAGTTCAGATTCGTTAATTAACTGTCAATTCTTACCCAATGTAAATAATGTGTTAATATCTAAAATAGTTGTTATAAAATCAAGCTCATGACAATATAAATATAAAGAGATGAAAACAAGAGAAGTAAAATGGAAGATAAGAATTTCTTCTTATTTAAGTGTATATTACAATGGTGAATGATATCTCTATTTATAGGTAGAGAAATCAACCAAAACGTCACCATGTTTAATGTCACATTAGTAGATACATTTCTATCCCAAAAAGATTCATCACCTTGGAAATACATATTCTTGATAAGGATAAGTTTATGATAAGCTTAATGGACAATCCACTCAATTCAATGTATTTATAACAACAGTATCATTTTGCATCGTTATATAATGTTATATGTTTATAACGTGAAGTGTAAAGTACAAGTAAAATAACATACGAATTAGAGATAATTACGAAGATAAATAAAAGATTAAATAAATTTATTAAATAGATAAAATAAAATATTTAAGTAGTCATCTATTAAATCGAACATTATTTAAGATATAAATATTTTCATCGTTACTTAACGATAAATTAAATATAATACTATAATAATGAATTAATATGGTTTACGATGAATATCTAGCGTAGATAATTATTTGTCAATATTCACATTTAGTATAACCTATTTGGTTAAACTTTGAGAAAATACTCTCTTTTAAAATTAAAAAACGCCTCTCTTTTTTAATAATATGCAAAGAAAAAATGTATTTGGGGTATAATATAGAAGTAAAAATAAATACTAATTAAAAGTTTACTTATTGAGTTTTTGATAGAGTGTAATGTTTTTAAGATGTAGAATTTAATTCAAAACTATAAGTACATTTCATCAAGAATTTGAAATCCACCTCTATTAGTATTCCAGTTATAGATTATGATATGATGGTTGAAATTATTAGTGTGTATATATTATGGTTAAAAATATAAATTGCGGATATCGTTTT